TATTCCTGAGTATAGTCCAAATGCTGTTTCTGACTTGTTCTTCTAGGTGTTGAATTTGATTAAAAGCTGTTCTGTTCCAGAAGGCATGAGCCTTCAAGACCTGCAGTCCCAATTGCATAATATCAACATGACAACAATTAAGTAAGTATACAGTTCCAGAACAAAGGATCTTCTGAAAACCAAAGCAGTTTTCTTAGGACCAAGTTGATAGCGGTAAACAAATAGGGAATGAAAGAGAGATGCAGTGACTCAGCATAGCATGCAGAAATGCTAGAACTCCAGATGTCTCCTCTTTTTTCTGTCTAGTAAATGAAGAATAGTATATCTTAGGTTAGACCCTGTTAATTGTTTCAGGAACTTTACTTTTTCTCCAGCATACGTACAAGAGAAATTAGTGATTTACTTTTTATCTGTTGGTTACAATAGAAGGTAACTTGTATTGAGCTGACTCTTTCCAAGAATGTAACAGGGTAAAACATATATCACAAAGATCACAAATCTCAGCTTGCCTGGAAAGATTCACAAAGGGTTACAAGACGAACAGCCTTGTGTTCGAGCAGAGTTTGCTATCAAAGAACTGGCTTCTCTGGCACAGCAGTATTGCGCCACCAATTTGCATTGAGATGAAAGCCATCGTTTCCCTTGGCTTCCTTTTGGTGATTGCTTTCTCATCTTGTTCTCATGATTTCAGCTGAGGCCAAACACCTCTTGAAGCAATATGAGAAAATTCCATTGAATTGTTGAAGTTATGAGACAAAGATGAGGTGCATCATTTCCTCTGTTAAAAATACTGTGTGACTTCTGTTTGGGTTTGTGGGGTTTTTTAGCATTTGGGTTTCTTGTGCCAGTGCCTAGGCAGTGTCACTTTTTTTTCTTTCATGTATCTAAGGACAATCCTGCATACTCTAGATGTTAACATTCAGTCTGTGTGCTGATAAGCAATCCCTTTCTCGTACTATGTCTGCCCAGAAGATTAAATTGGGGCTCACTTTACCACATTAGATGCTGCTGTTTTTTCTGTATCCTGTTTTGCTTTGCAACACACAGACATTATCACACCTTTTCAGCTGGAGGAAGTGACTGTGGTGCTATTGTGTAGGCAGTTTAGTCTTGTCTTTTGGGGGATGGAAAAATAAGGTCTTTAACAACACTTCCCTTTCCCTTTGACCAAAAGAATTAACATTTGACTTGCTCATGAGGTAGCATATCTTCTGAAACCTTTGCATAGTGAGGCTGGCATGGAATAGTGAGTGTGGTCTGAGGATACATGTGACAGAAGGAACCTGTTGATATCAAATAGTTATGATTTTTGTTTTGGTTTTTTGTCTTTTCCTTCACAGGCAAGCAGTTGAATTTCTTAGCAGTGAAGGACACATCTATTCCACAGTGGATGATGAGCACTATAAATCTACAGATGCTGAATAAAGGTGCTTCTGAGATTTACTTTCCAGCTGGCTTGAACTGTCTTTCATGTCCCTGTGAACTTGTCCATGGGCAGCCCTACCAAACTTTAATCAGCAGAAGAGGATCTCTCCTGTTTATAGCATTCAGGTTTCAGAAGTTGAGGGCCAGCAGAATAAATGTACAGGTTTCTTCTAACTAAGCTAAATAACAAAAGTGTGACAAGTGACTCGTGTTGAGCCAACTGTTTATAGAGAGAAGTGAACTCTGTATGAAGAAGAGCTGGAAACTTCAAGGCTATCGGCCATCTAGTTTCAGTGTCTTGTAGTAGGTTAGCTGGCTGGAAAGGATTGGATATTTCCAGTCTTACCATGGACAGGTTTTATTTTTGTTTTAGAAGTGATTCTTCCACTAAGCCAGTTTTCAGCCTCCTCCACTTATCTTGCAGTAGTGGTAGCTTTTTCAAAAATATTCTTGTAATGTACAGTGATCAAAAATATATTTTGTTTGTTACATACTTTCTGCATATAAATCTATACTTGTGTTACAGAATGGCTTTATTACTGAAACTTTTGATATTCTAATATAGCTTTTAATTGCAATAGGCTTGCTTGTATATGTGTGGTTTTGTTTAAATTCAGAAAAGCTTTCACCTTGATTAAATGTATTAGTAGATTAGTCCCTGAACTTTATGAACAAAAAAAAAAAGCTTTTACTTTTTTTGACTTCAGGAGAAAATCTGAAGAATTTTACTCAAAATGCTTTGTAAAAGGTTAAACGTAAGTGAAATGTGAACCCCAAGGGATGTTCAGGAAGTAAGAGTAAAACACACTTATACATCAAATCCTGCACTCTATGGTTTTGGCTTTGTTTTTTAAAATAAAGACAACTAAGCTAAATGGGAATTCCCTCATGTGTAACACTGAAGGTTAGGTAATGCCAGAGTGAGGGCTGCCTCTCTAACATTATTCCAGCCCCCTTTTTAATATATGCATCATGTAGAATTGTAGGGCTGCAAGGGACCTTCCGAGGTCATCTGGTCTAACCCCTTGCCAGAGGCAGGATGGTTTGGATAGGGATGATTCTGTCCAAATCCATTGTCCAACCAGTTAGTAAAACTACAGCATCAGCCATGACAACCATAAGATATAACACCCTAACCTGCCACAGGTACATCACAGTGTAATTGCAACTTGTATGAATATTAACTACATATCTCGGGGCTCCTGACTCATTCACTTGGCAATGCTCATTGAATAGGGAGCTCTGGAATCTTTATTTTTACTGATCAGTGTTTGGTTTTGTGTCTTAGGCTGTGCACAAGGATACAAAACTAGTAACTTCTTGAGCAGTTTCCTATTGGAAAAAATACTCCATCTTTCCTCATAGTACATTTTAGATAAAAGCCTTTTATGATTGAAGACCATTCAAATACAGTGTTTGTTTAGACTGCACCAACCCAGGGCAGTTCTTCAGTTACGTAAAAGTGTGAGAGTCCCAGCTTTAGGCATGCGAAGCTTGATAAAAACCCCAGTCTGACCTCATACAACTGCTTGCTGCCCCTGAAACAGCTCTTTGCAGAAGATTACTAGAGGCCTAAATTCCCAGTGTGAGTGCCTAAAATTAGACTCTTGGATCCAAAGCTAGGCATCTAAATATAAAGCACCTGATTTTCTATAGGAGTGAGTTCCCATAAATCCCATGGATACTAACAGGAGCATAACTGCCCAACACCTCCAAAATGCAGTGACTTTATTGATTAGTCTAACTTTGGGCTTAAAAACTTAGGCCCTGCGAAGGTGATTATCACAATAATGAACAAACATAGAGCATCATGTTGATCCTTTAGGAAGCGCCTCTTGGCTATCCATGCAGATTACTTATTGCTGACCCATAACTTGTAGATGAGTGCCTGCAGTTAAGAGGATGCATTTCCATATTGGTAATGGGAGCTTGTTATAAAGCGATGCAGATTGAGGATAAATACTGTCAAAGACTATTAATAGTAGTGGCAAGTCTCAGAAGTGTATAGTCTAGAGCAAGGATGAAGATGATGAATCATCTGTTTGGTAGTTAATAAAGTTGTGTGTAATGCTGTCTTGAGTATCTTGGCTTTTGTCGCTTCCGAAGTGTATCAAAGCAGTGCTTGCTTGGGCCAACGCAGTATTGCGCTCTCATACTCCTGACCAGTGTTTTGTTCAGTCTGCCTGCTGAGCACAAAGGGGTGTTTTCCTCAGCATAAGCATAGAGCTTGTCAAGGTTTGGAGATGCTGAAGTCACCTGAGGAGACTACGCTGAAAGCAGATGTGTTGGGCCTGCTAAGGGATCAATGGAGGAGAAGCCTTCCATCCAGTCTACAGCAGAGGTTTCCAGGTTGTCCTTCTTGGGACACTGCTTATTCAGTGCACAATGGAATAGATGACTGCTTAGTATAGAAGATGGGTTTCGGAAGGCATGGGCTGCTTGCACTGCACCGGTAATTGTCTCTGTCTCTGGCAGCAGCTCTCTTAGAACTCCCAAGGTTGCAGTCAAACACTTTGCAAATGAAAACCCTAGTTAATTTTAAGAGCTGGAACTAGTTTTTGAGTAGGAAAGCTTCCTGTCACATTCGTGGAGGCTGGGCCTTTACCAATGAAAAGCTCTCGCCATTTTGTGAATTGTTTTTTTAACATCGTTTTCAATTACTTCATAGTCGTGTTCTGAACTGTCACTGGAATTTGCACCTGAAAGAAAAGAGAGAATACTCAGGTCCCTTGACTGTTTTAGCCAAGTCCAGGAATTTGTGTTAAGACTTGATGCTGCAAGAACCCTTTTGGGAGAGATGCTGCTAGTTTCTCATGTCATCTCCTGCCCCCATGCCCCCAGGCTCAGAGAACTTGATATACAGGAATAATATTGTCATGTAAGGCCAAAGACAATAACTGCAAAGAACGCAGAAGCAAAGAGCGTGAAAGGAAATAGGAGTTTTCTTGCACGTTACTAAAGAAGCCAAAATTTATCATGTCTGATCAGACCACTTCAGTGTAGACTGGCATCCTGCTTCTGTCCATGGGCCATTTCTGACATTTGGAGGGAGGTGACAAGCAGTTCCAGGACCGCGGAGTCCATTGCATTATGATATTAGTAGGAGGGAAATCAATTTTGGCACCCTGCAGTTATACACTCAAATGTTGAAAGATGATATTTGTTCCCATGATTGCAGCCTGTTTTTGTGTTTGTTTTCTTAACTATCTTGACATAAGGTTTACGTAATGGTGTGTGTGCTCCCTGCATTAATTCAGAAATATTGAGGAGGGGGAAGAGGGGGCATTTCACCACTGTCATTTCATTGCTTCATAACGTTAAAAGCAGCAATTCAATTTCTTTTATATTTCATTTTAAAAAGCTATGTGAATGTAGCACCCAAAGGTTAAGAACTGTCAAAGATGACACCCGTAGAAAATTCCACCCGTTGTGCATACACGAGAAAAATCTTTAATTCCTTGCCTATGGAGTATATTTTCCATGGGAATCTGTTAGTGCATAGTATAGGTGGTGCTCAGTGAATAGGTCATGACTCGGTAGTTCTCTCCGTATTCATCGTTCCGTTCTGGCCCCAAACCTTATTTACTGCCTATCTAAATCCAGAGGTGTCACTGAACACTTGAGTGTGCCCTAGGTGGCAGTAGTGCATGGCGCAGAGTCAGGACTGTGCTGCAAGTAGCAACAGTGGTGGCCAGGCAGGCAGTGCAGCTGCCCCCAACCTTGTAGTCATCCCCTCTTTGTTATGCCAAAAGGATCATAAAAGTGGGAGCAACAGAAACTGTGTCATGGACCAAATCAAGAATTCGGAGCCACCCACCCTGCGTGGAAACATGTGCCCAAGCTGCAAGAGTCTGTCAATCCTGGATCAGCGCCATCAGCCATATTCAGACTCAAAGATAGGACAATCATGGAAGACAAGTCATCTTAGACTGAAAGGGATTGCCAAAGATGATTATGGTACTGTCAAGCTTACACTAAATAGAGAATTATTTCCTCCAAGGAAATTGTGGGATGGCACTAGAAGAGTATCAACATGCAAGTGAGCTACCTTGTGTTGACACTGCAAGGTGGGAAGGTTAACAGCCTGATTGAAATTGGCCCCATGTCCTAGCTAACACCCCTAGCTGTGCCAGCTAACCTGGGCTAAAAACACCACTGCACTTAAGTGAGAGGTTTTATATATGTACAGGACAAGGGTTAGAGGAGGTCCCAGGCTAACTTTCTAGGGAAGACATTGTCAGCTGCTGTCAGCACAAGTGTCCCAGGTGTCCTGTCCTCACCACCCCAACTACCACCACAGACCAGCCATCCTAGTCATGCTACCATTATTACATACAGGCAGTCCTTGACTTACAACGTTTTGAGTTACAATGTTTTGCACTTACAACATTTATAAATTGACACCATTTCAACTTTCTGACATCAGTTTCGACTTTACAACACTTGATCCAATGTGACGTCATGCCAGCGAACAAGTTTGTTGTGTCACCCATCTCCCTGGAGAATGTCCAAACTTCCTTGGACACTTTCTTTAAGAAAGCAGACAGGACTCCAAAAAAACCTGCAGCCAAGACTTCTGAGAAGACTCCAGCCAAGAGCCCTTCAAAAAGTCTAGCAAAGTCACCTCAAAGAAGTCCTTCCAAATCAATATGATTGCTGTTTACAATATAAATACATTAATGTAGATATATTACTCATTTTTAATTGACTGAGTACAAAATTCTGGGGTATTTTTGGTGAAAATAGGGTATTGGGCCTTGGTTCAGGAACCAGGCCCCTATTTATAACATTGTTTCTTATGAGAAAATTGGTTCCGAGTTACAACGTTTCGACTTACGACTTGATTTTTGGGAACCAATTGTGTCATAAGTCCGAGGACTGCCTGTATTCTCCTATTCATTAGCAGGCATTTTTGCCCCAGCTGAGTTTTGCTTTCTACTTTCTTACATTTCTAACCTCATCAGGATAATCCCTCTTTTTTTCTCTGTTCTCACTCATGATTGACACTCCTCCCAGTTTCATAAAACCTGCCAGTGTTGCAAACAGGTTCTTCATTCCCTGTGTGTGGGAGGGAGCCCCACCCCAGGTGCTGTAATGATAATTTAAGTCCTGCAGCAGCAGCAGGATTCTCCAAGTCTTTCATGTGGTTTGTGTTGTGTTTTAGTGCACCCTCTTGCCTCTGACTGGGTGGATCATTCAAGCCTGCCGTCAGAAAAGGTTGCCTACTCCTGTGCTAGAGTATGCTAGAACAGTTGGTCTGACTGGACCATCTCACCATCATCTTTCAGGACTCTTTTGGGCATGTGCGGCTTCTGCAAACAGGGCTGTGTGTCATACTCATTTGGGGTGCTCCTGGCAATAGGGTTACTTTGCATCTTGCTTGGCTTGAGGTTCAGAGGCTCCTGTGGTGCATACTTTGGCTTGGGCCTAGGAGGTAGCTGCTGAAAGGGAAAAGGAGTAAACAAAAACAGATGTTAGTCTGCCACAAGTGTTGGCAGCTGGGCCTACAGAGTACAAACCAAGGGGAAAGAGGCTGAGGAAATCTTGTTCCATGAACAGCCAAGATTTTTGCTGCAAGATGGCAGTAGAGTGGGCCTAGCAGGAGGGACCTTCTGGGGCTCTTCCTCCCCAGCCCCCCAGGACCACCTCTGTGTTGACGTTCTGGCTCAGTCCTCTTCCTCCACTCAAGAAAGTGGACAGGTAACAAAAGCATCATTCATACATGCACATGTACAAGTCCCCCAGGAACTCAAAAGGACTCATGCCCGCACATGAGCCAACATGTATATGTGCACTCATGCTTGGCCCTACCTATATATGCAGACTTACACACACAGCCACACCCCTGCACATACACAAGCCAAGTTATACACGTTTATCTGCGCACATTCACCCCCCACCCCCGTGCATTCATGTGCTTACATGCACACGCTTTCCCCCTTCTCTTCCCACCCCCACCCCACATAGCCATAGGCTGATCTACACCTTTGGTTTCTCAGGGACCTTTTCTTCTTTGGTTTTCTGAGGGCCTGTCTTGTTCTTACACTCTCTCCTCTTGGGGGGCCGTGGTGGGGCAACTACAGTGCTAGGCAGCAGCCTCACCAACTGAT